TGACTCTTTCCTATAGGATCTGATTCTTCTCTAAAGGATCTAATCCTTTCATAAGATAATCTGATCCCTTCTGAGCCTTTCCTACAGGATCTGATGATTTTTTCTTAAAGGATTTGATCCTATCCTAAAGGACCCAATCCTTTGTTAAGGGGATCTGATCCTTTCCTAAAGGATCCAATCCTTTCTTAAGGAGATCTGATCCCTTTTAAATAGAATCCAATCCTTCCTTAACAGGATCGGATTCCTTCTAAAGAGGATCTGATCCTCCTAATACCCCCTGCCTGAATCCGCCTCAGAAACCCTCTGGATGTTGTTCTCGTGAAAAAGAGGCAGAAAAACCCGCTTTCGATGATATCTTCAAGGTTCAACCTCTTTTTTTTATCAGGTGTAAAAAAAAAGGAGCATATTTGTCGTTCCGGTTCTCCCGTTTTTTATATAGGAGATTAAAGGAACGCACGCAGAGATGTTCCTGTTAACAGGTTCTAGAAGTTTCTGTTAACGGGTAATATCTATTAATGGTTTCAGAGACGTTCCTGTTAACAGGTTATATTTGTTCATGGTTCCAGAGACGTTTCTGTTAATAGGTAATATCTGTTAATGGTTTTAGAGACGTTCCTGTTAGCAGGTAATATATGTTAATGGTTCCAGAGAGGTTTCTGTTAACAGCTAATACCTGGAAGTGCCTTTATGGCAATGAGGGGGCTTTTAATCCAAGTTATTGGATTAAAAGCCCCCTTCCTTCGATAGCAGATTACCTTTCATTCCCCAGGCGCTGTTTGGGCCCCTACTCATTTAACGCTTCAAGGCAAAGATAATCTTTGAACCAACGAATCAGCAGTAATTTCAGCTGTAGATTCGTAGCTCCTCTGAATATTTAATGTAATCGCTGTTGCAATTACATTAGTCTTGGGTTGGGTCAGTGATTACATTCATCTTGTGTCAGTGATTATATTAATCTTGGGTAAGTGATTACATTCATCTTGGGTCAGTGATTACATTCATCTTGGGTCAGTGATTATATTAATCTTGGGTCAGTGATTACATTAATCTTGGGTCAGTGATTACATTAATCTTGGGTCAGTAATTACATTTATCTTAGGTCAGTGATTACATTCATCTAGGATTGGGTCAATCATTACATTCGTCTTGGGTCAGTGATTACATTTGTGTCGAGTTGGGTCAACAGTTACATTTGTCTCGTTTCAATGATTACATCCGTCTTGGATCAACGATTACATTCGCCTTGGGTCAACGATTACATTAGTCTTGGGTTGGGTCAACGATTACACTCGTCTCGGTTGAGTCTGAGTGGCTGGTGTTTGTCTCCTGTAATGAGCAGGTAGACCCTAATGCCACGGTAATTACCTGGTCCGCCTGGCTTGGTTGTCTTGCCAACACCGTACGGCCAAGAACGAGTGCTGGACCAACATGCTTGTCTTTCCCGTACAGTACGCCCAAGAACGAGTGCTGGACCAACATGCTTGTCTTTCCCGTACAGTACGGCCAAGAACGAGTGCTGGACCAACATGCTTGTCTTTCCCGTACAGTACGGCCAAGAACGAGTGCTGGACCAACATGCTTGTCTTTCCCGTACAGTACGGCCAAGAACGAGTGCTGGACCAACATGCTTGTCTTTCCCGTACAGTACGGCCAAGAACGAGTGCTGGACCAACATGCTTGTCTTTCCCGTACAGTACGCTCAAGAACGAGTGCTGGACCAACATGCTTGTCTTTCCCGTACAGTACGCCCAAGAACGAGTGCTGGACCAACATGCTTGTCTTTCCCGTACAGTACGGCCAAGAACGAGTGCTGGACCAACATGCTTGTCTTTCCCGTACAGTACGCCCAAGAACGAGTGCTGGACCAACATGCTTGTCTTTCCCGTACAGTACGCCCAAGAACGAGTGCTGGACCAACATGCTTGTCTTTCCCGTACAGTACGGCCAAGAACGAGTGCTGGACCAACATGCTTGTCTTTCTCGTACAGTACGGCCAAGAACGAGTGCTGGACCAACATGCTTGTCTTTCCCGTACAGTACGGCCAAGAACGAGTGCTGGACCAACATGCTTGTCTTTCCGTACAGTACGGCCAAGAACGAGTGCTGGACCAACATGCTTGTCTTTCTCGTACAGTACGGCCAAGAACGAGTGCTGGACCAACATGCTTGTCTTTCCCGTACAGTACGGCCAAGAACGAGTGCTGGACCAACATGCTTGTCTTTCCCGTACAGTACGGCCAAGAACGAGTGCTGGACCACATGCTTGTCTTTCTCGTACAGTACGGCCAAGAACGAGTGCTGGACCAACATGCTTGTCTTTCCCGTACAGTACGGCCAAGAACGAGTGCTGGACCAACATGCTTGTCTTTCCCGTACAGTACGGCCAAGAACGAGTGCTGGACCAACATGCTTGTCTTTCCCGTACAGTACGGCCAAGAACGAGTGCTGGACCAACATGCTTGTCTTTCCCGTACAGTACGGCCAAGAACGAGTGCTGGACCAACATGCTTGTCTTTCTCGTACAGTACGGCCAAGAACGAGTGCTGGACCAACATGCTTGTCTTTCCCGTACAGTACGGCCAAGAACGAGTGCTGGACCAACATGCTTGTCTTTCCCGTACAGTACGGCCAAGAACGAGTGCTGGACCAACATGCTTGTCTTTCCCGTACAGTACGGCCAAGAACGAGTGCTGGACCAACATGCTTGTCTTTCCGTACAGTACGGCCAAGAACGAGTGCTGGACCAACATGCTTGTCTTTCCCGTACAGTACGGCCAAGAACGAGTGCTGGACCAACATGCTTGTCTTTCCCGTACAGTACGGCCAAGAACGAGTGCTGGACCAACATGCTTGTCTTTCCCGTACAGTACGGCCAAGAACGAGTGCTGGACCAACATGCTTGTCTTTCCCGTACAGTACGGCCAAGAACGAGTGCTGGACCAACATGCTTGTCTTTCCCGTACAGTACGGCCAAGAACGAGTGCTGGACCAACATGCTTGTCTTTCCCGTACAGTACGGCCAAGAACGAGTGCTGGACCAACATGCTTGTCTTTCCCGTACAGTACGGCCAAGAACGAGTGCTGGACCAACACTGTGTAGCCTTTGATGAATGATTTGAAAAACCTACAAGTTGAAGATTGAGACACTTATGCAACATATGGGAATCTTTATTCAGGAAACGTTTCGCCACACAGGCTGAGGGACTGATTACCTCAAACTACTCCTCTCCTTACACCTTTCTACTTTGTATTGGACTGATGAAGCCACTGTGTGGCGAAACGTTTCCTGAATAAAGATTCCCATATGTTGCATAAGTGTCTCAATCTTCAACTGTCTAGCCTAGCGTGCTTGTCTTCCCCCGTATAGTGCAGCCAAGAACAAGTGCTGAACCAACAAACGCTGGCCGGCTAGCTAGCTAGCTAGCTAGCTGGTCCTGAAAGCTGCGGTCAGAACCACCAAAGCACGGTACAGTCTTCGCCTGAACTTCACAGCTACTGTTCCTTCAGGAAATTCGTAAATTGCCGGTGTCTGGCTGCTGTAAATCACCCTCCAGACGCTCATTTGGTGTCGGCACACTTAAAGAGAGAGAGAGGGAGAGAGAGAAAGAGAGATTTGTTCAGGCAACGACTCGTTAAACACCGGAAATGTGATGATTATACGAATTTAAGTGACTAACCTTGAAGGAAATACTTAATGCAAACCAATCCATCTTCCTTAGTTATAACCCCCTACCCCAACCCCCACCTAGTAAGCGATTTTCATAGTAAACGATTTCTCTCGTAAGCGATTTCCCTAGTAAACAATTTCTCTTGTAAGCGATTTCTCCTAGTAAACGATTCTCCTAGTAAACGACTCTCCTTTTTTTAATTAGTATCATGAGGCACACGGATACATTTCGCCCAACACGTATATATTTCCGGCAGGTACTGGAGTTTTTTACACAAGGAGAGAGTATTAAGGCAACGTTTTGCTCAAGGAGAGTTTTATTAAAGCGTTTCTCTCAATGATAGCTTTTCCTTAATTTTTTTTCAAGTTTGGCTTTTCAGTGTTTCGCTCGGAGAAACCTTAAAGCAACGTTTCCCTTACAGAGAGCTTTATTAAGACTTTTCGCTCAGGAAGAGATTTATAAAGGCAGCGTTTCGCTCAAGAGGAACTTTACTAAGGCAACACTTCGCTCAAGAAGAGCGAAACATCTTAAGCCTTGAGCTCTTCTAGGTGTGTCACTATTACCGCCTTAGCTTTTACTGCTCCCGGGTGCGACCACAGGGCCAGGCTAGATATATAGGTTCCCACTGCACCTGCTGTCCCTAGTCACCTAGCAGTAAGTAGGTACCTGCGTGTTAGTCCACTGTTGTGGGTGGAAGCCTGAGGCTACAAATTCAAATGCCTATTATTATTATTAGTAGTAGTAGCAGCAGTAGTAGATATAGTTGTAGCAGTAGTAGTAGTTATAGTAGTAGTAGCAGTAGTAGTAGTTATAGTAGTAGTAGCAGTAGTAGTATTAGTAGTATTTATGCGGAAGCTCTAGATTCGTAGTATCACATAAACTTGAAAACGAGAAATATGAGAGGATTCGAATTGAGTGTAAGAAACTTGTATATACTTGTATATAGGCCTGATGTGAGAGGCTCTGAGTAACAGGTAAACAAGCCGAATGCGAGTCTGAGAAACAGGCAAACGAGAATGGTGTGAGATGAGAGAAATAAAGGTGCCGGAAGTCAGAGGGTCTGATCAACAGGTAAACAGGCCAGATGTGACAAGGTCTGAAGAGAGGACATCGAAGTAGGGCCTTTGAGGACAGAACATCGAAGTGTGCTTTGAGGAGAAACTATTGAGGTGTGGCCTCCGAAGACAGGATATCGAAGTGGGGCCTTGGACGACAGAACATCAAAGTGGGGTCTCTGACGATAGAACACTGAAGTGGGGCTTCAGATGACAGAACATCGAAGTGTGATCTCTGAAGACAGATTATCCTTGAGAAAACATTATGGCGACTTACTTGTGGTCTCTGAGGTGGTCCTGACGGCGGAATGCCTTCCCACAGACGTCGCAAGGGAATGGACGCTCGTCGGTGTGCGTCCTCTCGTGGATCAGCAGGTTGTAGCTTTTTGTAAAGTGCCTGGAACAGTACTTGCATATAAACTGCTTCTTCGGCCGCGCCGCCCGACCCGACACTCGCAGTAACCGTCTGTCGAAGATACCCGGCAGGAGGGGGTTGCCCATGCCAAGGGTGGGCACTCCAAGCGGCGGCATGGAGTGCCCCAGGGGCAGCACGTGTCCCTGAATGTCGGCCAGGTTGCGGCTGGGCCCACTTTGGAGTTGGGGCCCACCCGGGTCATCAGGGCGAGGGGCCTCGTGATCAGGGCTGGCCACTTCATGCAGGCGCCGGCTGCCACGCGATACTACAGGGTGGAAGGCTGACGGCGCCGCCTCCGAATTCACCTGCAACAATATACACAGAATATAACATGGAACGTGCACCGTATAATTATACAGATTATACACTCAGCGCGGCACCGCGTGAGTTTATACTCCAGTCAAACGAGACATGGCACTTTGTAAATGTACACAGTAAGAATATACATCGTTATTGAGACACTGTGTGATGAGGACACTCAGAATATAAGGTACAACGACACATATGGAAGGAGCCTTTACTGGACCACAGCTAAGATAAGGTAATGTTGGATCCTGGATAATGGGTGATTTCAATAGGCGCTTAACAAGAAATCCATAGGCGACGGGAGGTGACCTAGTGTTGTGTGTGTGCGGGGAGGGGTCGAGACTTAGCTCTTGGCCCCAACTCCTAGACTGATTACTATCTACTCTTACAGGTGTTTATTGAGTTTGCATCCACCACTATTTCATTCTAGTCATTCCACTTTTCAACCACACTGAGGCCAAAGAAATACTTCCTTACATCCTTATGGCTCATCTGTGTCTTCATTTATGCCACATGCCACTGACGTTATAAGCTCTATTTGTAACTCTGTATGCTTTGTCAAATTTACCTCGTGTTCCTTCCCATCACTGATACTTGCAGCTCCTCTCTACTGTACTCTGTATCAGGTTTCCCTCACTTCCAGTCTGCATGATTGCATTTGTTAGGACCGAACGCCCAAAGTCACATCAGCAGTCAGTTGAGGTCTCCCTGGAGCTTATCTGTCTTCTATTGCTCTTATTCTTCTTAGTTTTATATCATCAAAGAGTGACACATAAGACTCAGTTCCTTCTGGCAGGTCGTTGACATATGTTCATCCGTTCATTCGTACTGTTACTTTCTTCCTTCTGTCATTGATGTAGTACTTCCCTGCCCCACTGGAGCATTCTGCTTTTCAACTTGTTTCTCTAATTTCTGGACTAATCTCTGGCGTGGTACTGCATCAATGCCTTCCTGCAGTCGTAAGAAGATGCAACCAACCCTGTCTTCTTTCTTGTTATCTCTGTGACTTTGTCACAGAACTCCAACGAGTTCGTAAGACAATATTTCCCATTCCTAAATCTGAGTTGGTATTCTCTAAAGTATGTGTCCAAATACTCCAATAATTTTCACCAGTATTTTTGAAATATTCATGTTAGGGCTGCCGGCATGTTATTCTGTGCTTCCCGTGTGTCTCCTTTTCTATGCTTTGAAACCTTTCTTAACCCTCTGTGTCCAGGTGTCCTAGTTCCTTTATAGTCTTCAGTAGCTTGTGATCGTCACTGCTACTTCTTCTCTTTTGTTTTCCTTCCCTTTCTGACTCTGTGGCGGTACTCTGAGAATATCGCCTGTATTATTACTTAGAATTTCATTTCCATAATAGCTATGATAAAAACTTTCCTCTCCTGCTCTTTCTTTCACGATTCCACTTTTGTTCGTGAGAGAGATATTATTTGTTTGAATAAATGGTTTAGAAAAACCGACTAGTTGATAAATGAGACACTTGTGCAACTCACTAGAGGTTTCTCCACTGGTGACTCCGCCTACCACTGCTCCACCTCACATGTCTGCAGTATATAAGCCCGATCTCCGTACATATGCTGCACCTTTATTAAGACTGGTGGACTGAACACATCGACTCTAGGCTGAGGGACTGATTACATCAATTTCCGCCTCCTCGTCTTTCACCGTGCTCTGTGCTGGACTGAAGAAACCACTGGCCGGCGAAAGGTTTCCAGACTAAAGGCACCCAAATGCTGCAGTTATTTGCTGACAGAGGATCAATGATCTTTGTTACTGTTTGATACTCAGCATACTCTCCCCCAGGGTGTGACCTGTTTGACCTTCAGCATCCTCTGTGACCTATTGTTTGACCCTCAGCATACTCTCTCCCAGGGTGTGACCTGTTTGACCTTCAGCATCCTCTGTGACCTATTGTTTGACCCTCATTACACTCTCCCCAGCCCCGGGGTGTGACCTACTGTTTGACCCTCAGCATGCTCTCCCCCAGGGTGTGACCTAATGTTTGACCCTCAGCATACTCTCTCCCAGGGTGTGACCTATTGTTTGACCCTCAGCATACTCTTCCCCAAGATGTGACCTACTGTTTGACCCTAAGCATCCTCACCCCCAGGGTGTGACCTATTGTTTGAACCTCAGTGTCCTCTCTCCCAGGGTGTGATCTATTGTTTGACCCTCAGCATCCTCTCCCCCAGGGTGTGACCTATTGTTTGAACCTCAGTATCCTTTCCCCCAGGGTGTGACCTATTGTTTGACCCTCAGCATCCTCTCCCCCAGGGTGTGACCTATTGTTTGAACCTCAGTATCCTTTCCCCCAGGGTGTGACCTATTGTTTGACCCTCAGCATACTCTCCCCCAGCGTGTGACCTGAGTGACCCTCAGCATCCTTTCCCCCATGGTGTGACCTATTTATTGTTTGGCCCTCAGCATCCTCTCCCCCAGGGTGTGACCTACTGTTTGACTCTCAGCATCCTCTCCCCAGGGTGTGACCTATTGTTTGACCCTCAGCATCCTCTCCCCCAGGGTGTGACATATTGTTTGACCCTCAACATCCTCTCCCCCAGGGTGCGACCTATTGTTTGACCCTCATCATACTCTCCCCCAGGGTGTGATCTGTTGTTTGAGGTTCAGCATTCTCTCCCCCCGGGTGTGACCTAATGTTTGAGCCTCGGCGTCTTCTCCCCCAGGGTGTGACCTATTGTTTGAGCCTCAGCATCCTCTCCCCCAGGGTGTGACCTATTGTTTGAGCCTCAGCATTCTCTCTCCCAGGGTGTGACCTACTGTTTGAGCCTCAGCATCCTCTCCTCCAGGGTGTGACCTATTGTTTGAGCCTCAGCATCCTCTCCTCCAGGGTGTGACCTATTGTTTGAGCCTCAGCATCCTCTCCTCCAGGGTGTGACCTATTGTTTGAGCCTCAGCATCCTCTCCCCCAGGGTGTGACCTATTGTTTGAGCCTCAGCATTCTCTCTCCCAGGGTGTGACCTATTGTTTGAGCCTCAGCATCCTCTCCCCCAGGGTGTGACCTATTGTTTGAGCCTCAGCATCCTCTCCCCCAGGGTGTGACCTATTGTTTGAGCCTCAGCATTCTCTCTCCCAGGGTGTGACCTACTGTTTGAGCCTCAGCATCCTCTCCTCCAGGGTGTGACCTATTGTTTGAGCCTCAGCATCCTCTCCCCCAGGGTGTGACCTATTGTTTGAGCCTCAGCATCCTCTCCCCCAGGGTGTGACCTATTGTTTGAGCCTCAGCATCCTCTCCCCCAGGGTGTGACCTACTGTTTGAGCCTCAGCATCCTCTCCTCCAGGGTGTGACCTATTGTTTGAGCCTCAGCATCCTCTCCTCCAGGGTGTGACCTATTGTTTGAGCCTCAGCATTCTCTCCCCCAGGGTGTGACCTACAAGAATGGACTAGCAACAGGTACCTATCTACCCTGACAGGTCACGAGGAGTCACCTACAGCAGCGACTATGTTAAAGTCATCAACATCACTTGAGAGAATAAGTGGTGGGCAAGGGTGGGCCGGGGTGGGCATGAGTGGGCCGGGGTGGGCAATGGTGAGCTGGGGTTGTCTTAGGAGGACCTGGGTGGGCATGGGTGGGCCAGGGTGGGCATGGGTGGGGTGGGGTGAGCGGAGACAGCTTTTTAGTGTCTAATTACTACTCTGTGTCTGAAAAAATAAAACCTTACACCTAAAGAGACCGGTATATTAATGAATTAAACACACACACACAACACGCACACACACACACACACACACCACACACACACACACACACACACACACACACACACACACACACACACACACACACACACACACGCATATACTACAGGCCTAGTGTCTAATCGACATGTGCCTAGGACAAAATGGTAACTAACACACACACACACACACACACACACACACACACACACACACACACAAATCACACACACACACACACACACACACACACAACACACACACCACATTTGTGGAGATAAACACAGTTTTAATAGAAGACTGCATTTTTCGATCCCCGTCTGAGACCGTCTTCAGACGGTCTCAGATGGTCTCAGACGGTCTTCAGACGGTCTCAGACGGGGATCGAAAAACACTTGCTAAACCTGACCCCGTACAGGTTTAGCACGTGCCTCATGATAATAATACTGACCTGGTGTAATACAGAGAGCTGTGGGTGCAAACGGTGGTGTTGGGAATAGTGGAGTCCCCCCTGCGGGGTGTGAACACTGTGGTGACTCCCAGGGTACATAGGGGCACTCACGCCAGTGCTCACGAAGGAGGAGAAGACTGAGGGCGCTGGTGGCACCCCTGGCACGCTGCCAGAACCTCCAGACATGACCTTAAATGAGAAAGAATTTACTTATTAAAATTGATGGTAGTTGTGTTGCTTGACGAAAATGTCTAAATTTCTTCTGACGTGGTTGTCAGGCTGTGATGTCAGGCTGTGATGTCAGGCTGTGTTGTCAGGCTGTGATGTCAGGCTGTGTTGTCAGGCTGTGTTGTCAGGCTGTGTTGTCATGTGATGTCAGGCTGTGATGTCAGGCTGTGTTGTCAGGCTGTGATGTCAGGCTGTGATGTAAGGCTGTGATGTCAGCCTGTGATGTCAGGCTGTGATGTCAGGCTGTGTTGTCAGGCTGTGTTGTCAGGCTGTGTTGTCAGGCTGTGTTGTCAGGCTGTGTTGTCATGTTGTGATGTCAGGCTGTGTTGTCAGGCTGTGTTGTCAGGCTGTGTTGTCATGTTGTGATGTCAGGCTGTGTTGTCAGGCTGTGATGTCAGGCTGTGTTGTCAGGCTGTGATATCAGGCTGTGTTGTCAGGCTGTGTTGTCAGGCTGTGTTGTCAGGCTGTGATGTCAGGCTGTGTTGTCAGGCTGTGATGTCAGGCTGTGTTGTCAGGCTGTGATGTCAGGCTGTGATGTCAAGCTGTGTTGTCAGGCTGTGGATTCGGTGTGTTGTCAGGCTGTGATGTCAGGCTGTGTTGTCAAGCTGTGTTGTCAGGCTGTGTTGTCAGGCTGTGATGTCAGGCTGTGTTGTCATGTTGTGATGTCAGGCTGTATTGTCAGGCTGTGTTGTCAGGTTGTAATGTCAGGCTGTGTTGTCAGGCTGTGATGTCAGGCTGTGATGTCAGGCTGTGTTGTCAGGCTGTGATGTCAGGCTGTGTTGTCAGGCTGTGTTGTCATGTTGTGATGTCAGGCTGTATTGTCAGGCTGTGTTGTCAGGTTGTAATGTCAGGCTGTGTTGTCAGGCTGTGATTTCAGGCTGTGTTGTCAGGTTGTGATGTCAGGCTGTGTTGTCAGGTTGTGATGTCAGGCTGTGTTGTCAGGCTATGATGGATATGTAGACTCCCAGCGGGATCCCAACAGTAGGGGTGCAATGAGCACAATAAGAGAACACTGTATCAACATCCGTAGCGCCAGGTTATTCAACATCTTACCAGAAGATATCAGAAACACTGCTGGAACAAGTGTAGAAGTCTTCAAGAAGAAACTGGACAAGTATCTTCACCAGGTGCCAGATCAATCAGGCTGTGATGGATATGTGGGGTAGCGGACCACCAGCAGCAACAGCCTGGTTGACCAGGCAAAGAAGAGAGAAGCCTGGCCTCAGGAGGTTTGCAAGGGCAAGGGAAACTCTAGAAATCGATCACAGGTATATCAAAGGTATGTGTAGGAATAAATGGTTTACAAAATCGACAAGTATAACATATGGGTACTTTTATTCTGGAAACGTTTCGCCACCCAGTGCCTTCTTCAGTCCAGTGTAGAGAAAGGTGAAAAACAAGGAGTCTGAGGTAATCAGTCCCTGAGCCTGGAGTCGATGTGTTCAGTCCATCAATCAAGACTGATAGACTGAACACATCGACTCCAGGCTGTAGGACTGATTAACACAAACTGTTACTCATTTTCCATCTTTGTCTACATTGGCCTGAAGAATGCACTGCCTGACGAAATGTTTCTCAAATATTGGACAACTGTCTCACTTATCATGTTATACAGTGACTGGCTTAGCGGTGGTTTTACTCATGTGACCGTGGCTTACCCCTGGCTTACCGTCATTATAAGCCATGACGACGGGTATTCCACCTGGTATATAAACAAAACTCATCACGCAAGACTATTTTACGAATTACAGTCTGGTTTTGGTGTATACGGGGATGTTTCTCTCTCTCTCTCTCTCTCTCTCTCTCTCACACACACACACACCACACACACACACACACACACACACACACACACACCACCACCACCACCCACGTAAGCCCAGGCTTGTCATTACCCAATTTGTGAAGACGTGCACCTCATAATACACAGTCACACCAACTACCTTGCCCAGCCTCCTCTTGTCTGATCCTCCTCCTCCTCCTCCTTCTTCTTCTTCTCCTCCTCCTCCTCCTCCTCTGCTCCTCTTCACCCAACCTATTCTGCTCACACTAGAGTTAAGTTCTATTGAAAAAAGAATTAAAATAATTCAACTCTCTCTCTCTCTCTCTCTCTCTCTCTTTTCTCTCTCTCTCTCTCTCTCTCTCTCTCCTTTAAGGAGGGTACGTTGATTGCTGGTCAGGGGATCTTGATCTATGGAGTTGGAGTATCCTCCCATTCCTCGGATCAAACCTGATTGCCTCTCCTTTCCCCCCTTCCATCTTCCCGCCCATCTTTATCCTGTTTTTTCCCCCCTCTCAAACCCCCCCCCCATCACCCCACCCCCCACCTCCCCTCTTAACCCCCCCCTGTCGTCATGCAGATGCCCTCTTTATCAATCTCCTCTTGTTGGAGATTGATAGAGATAAGGGTTTGTAAAAGTGTTTTGGTATGGTGGGGGTTTAGTGTGTGGGGGGTGGTGGTTATAGTGTATAGTAGTATATAATAATAATAAAAATCTTTATTTCTACAAGACAGATACAATTTAAGCCCATAGCTGACACGTGTAGGGGTGATTGTGGGGGTTGTAGGGGTTTTGTGATTGTAGTGATAGGGGTGGGGGGGGTGGGAGGGAAAGTGTATGTGTGGTGTTGTGGGGGTTTGTAGAGGGATGTAGGAAATCGCCCACCACCAACGCAGCACCAAAAAACAACCCACCCCCAACCAGCGCCCCCAACAACAGCACCACCCCCAACAGCACAGGGTATCAGTAACAGAAAGCCCCAAAACAGCACACCAAAACACGCCCCCAACAACAGCAGCCTGGTTCGAAAAACAGCAAACCCAACAACAACCCACCACCAACGCCACGGGTATCAGAACGCAGCAAAAAACAAACCACAACAAAGCGCACCAACAACAACACCCCCCACCACGCAGCATGGTATCACAACAGCGACCAAAAACAACACCACCCCCAAACACAGCACCCACCCCCAAACAGCAGCCGGTATCAGCAACACAGCCCCAACAACAACCCCCCACCAACACAGCCCAACAACGCACCACCCCCAAACACCACGGGTATCAGAAACAGCGCACCAACAACAACACCACCACAACAGCAGCCCCAACAACAACACCACCCCCAACAGCAGCACTGGTATCAGAAACGCAGCCCCAAAAACAAAAACCACCAACATCACACCAACAACAACCCACCACCAAACCAGCACAACAGCAACCCACCACAACAGCAGCACTGGTATCAAAACAGCAGCCCCAACACAACACACCACCAACAGCAGCCCCCAAAACAACACCACCCCAACACAGCACCAACAACGAACCACACCCAAAACAGCACTGGTTCAGCAAGCCCCCAAACAACAACCCACCCCCAACAGCAGCCCCAACAACAGCCCCACCCCCAACGCAGACGGGTATCAGCAACGCAGCCCCAAAACAAAAAACACCACCAAACAGCCCCCAAACAACAAAAAAAACCACCCCCAAACAGCAGCACAGGATCGTAAAGCAGCACCAACAAAAAACCCCACCACCAACAGCCACGGTATCAGTAACACGCCCAAAAAACAGCACCACCACCAACAGCAGCACGGGACAGAAACGCAGCACCAACAACAACCCCCCCAAACGAGCACTGGTTCAGACAGCAGCCCAAACAACAACCCACCCCCAAAGCGCCTGGTATCAAAACACAGCACCAACAACAACACCACCCCCAACAGCAGCCGGTACGTAACAACCCCAACAAAAACACACCCCCAACAGCGCACCAACAACAACACCACCCCCAAAACGCGCATGGTTCACACGCGCACCAAAAAACAACACCACCCCCAAACAGCAGCCCCAACAACAACACCACCCAACGCACACTGGTATCAGTAACAGCAGCCCAACAACAACACCCCCACCAACAGCGCACCAAAAAAACACCCCCCCCAACGCAGCACTGGTATCAGTAACAGCGGCACAAAACAACACCCCCCCCAACAGCAGCACGGGATCAGCAACAGCACACCAACAACAAACCACACAACAGCAGCAAAAACAACAACCCACCACCAACGCAGCACTGGTATCATAACCAGCCAAACAAAAACACCACCAGCACGCAGCCCCAAACAACAACACCACCACCAACAGCAGCCCCAAAAACAACACCCCCCCCAACACCCGCATGGTATCAGTAACAGCAGAAACCCAACAACAACACCACCACCAACAGCAGACGGGTACAGAAAACAGCACACCAACAAAACCCACCCCAACACAGCACCAACAAAAACCCCCCACCAAAGCAGCATGGTATCAGTAACAGCAGCACCAACAACAACTTTAAACCCCAACAGGCACGGGTTCAGCAACAGCACCCCAAAAACAACACCACCCCCAACAGCAGCCCCAACAACAACACCACCCCACCAACGCAGCACCAACAAAAAAACACCCCACCAACACGCACGGTATCAGCAAAGCAGCACCAACAAACCACCCCACCAACAGCAGCCCAACAACAACACCCCCCAAACAGCAGCACTGGTTTCAAAACCCGCGCACCAACAACAACACCACCACCAACACAGCACGGTATCAGTAACCCCGCAAAAACAAAAACCCCACCAACAGCAGCAGGGTATCAGCAACAGCGCACCAACAACACCACCCCAACAGCAGCACCAACAAAGCACCACACCAACGCAGCACTGGTTTATCCAACACGCACCAACAACAACAGACCGGGTTACAGCAACAGAACCCCAACAACAAACCACCACCAACAGCAGCACCAAAACAGCACCACCCCAACAGCGCACGGTACAGCAACAGCAGCACCAAAACAACCCCCCACCAAAGAACACTGGTATCAGCAACACCCACACCAACAACAACAACCCCAAAGCAAGAGCAGAACCAGCAGCCCCACAACAACGGCAGAACCGCACCACCACCAGTA